GCGCAGTTTGCAAAGTGATGGAACGTCTCGTAAATCGACGTTTAATGTGGTATTTAGAGACACACAACAGTCTCTCCGCTAGTCAATATGACTTTCGTAAGGGTCGTTCTACCATAGACCCCTTACTACGCTTGGATACGTATGTTCGTAATGCCTTTGCAAATAGTCACTCAGTTATTGCCATATTTTTTGACCTTGAGAAGGCATATGACACAACTTGGAGGTATAATATTTTGGCCCAGGCCCATTCCTTAGGCCTCCGAGGCAATCTACCATCCTTCCTTAAGAACTTTTTAACTGACAGACATTTCCGTGTTCGAGTCAATAATGTTCTTTCCCCGGACTTCGTCCAAGCTGAATGTGTCCCTCAGGATGTGTTTCTAAGCACAACACTTTTTCTCCTTGCTATAAATGATTTGGCCTCTGTTCTTCCACCCAATATTTGGTCATCACTCTATGTTGATGACTTTGCTATTGCTTGTGCAGGCACTGACTGTCATCTTATTGCAGTTTCTCTCCAGCATGCGGTCGACCGTGTTTCCACTTGGCCACCACGCATGGTTTAAATTTTCAAGTAACCAAAACTCACCAAATTACTTTCACTAGACGCTCTGTTATCTCCGATCATCCTTTGTATCTCTATGGCTCCCGTATCCCCGAACGTGATACAGTCAGTTTCTAGGCCTTCTCTTTGACCGTAGGTATACTCCTGGAAACCTCACATTACCTCTCTGAAGGCAACTTGTCACAGCCGGCTAAACCTTCTTAAAACCCTTGCTCATCATTCCTGGGGAGCTGATCGTTGAACTACCTGCTTCACCTACATTCAGCCCTCGTTTTATCGAAACACTCGATTATGGTGACCCAGATTTATTCCGCGGCCTCTCCTGCTACTCTCTCTAGCCTTAACTCTATCCATCACCAAGGATTACGTTTGTGCCTTGGTGCTTTTCGCTCTTCCCCTGTTGAGAGCCTCTATGCAGAAGCGAATGTTCCATCCTTGTCTGATCGCCGTGATGCCCATTGCCTTCGCTACTATTTACGCTCTCACGATCTCCACAATCCTTCCATTTATAGAATGGTCACCGATATTAGTAGACATTCTTTATTTGTTCGCCGCCCCTGTTTGCTCCTTCCTTTTTCTCTTCGCCTACATTCACTCTTGTCTTCCCTCCAGTTACAACCTTTATATGTTCATGTGGCATCTCACTTTTCCCTACCCCCCTGGGAAGTTCCAGCTGTTCGGGTCTGTTCTTTCTCACTCCCTTGCTCGAAAGCTCAACTGCCTACGGTGGCTTCCCGCTCTCTTTTTCTTGGTCACTTCCACTCCCATTCTCATGCCACCGCTGTTTACACAGATGGCTCTAAGTCTTCAGACGGCGTCGGATTTGCAGCAGTTTTTCCGGACAGCGTCGTGCGGGGGCATTTACTATCTTCGGCTAGCATTTTTACTGCTGAACTGTATGCCATTCTTGCAGCACTTATTCGTATCGCATCTATGCCTGTGTCATCATTTGTGGTAGTCTCAGACTCCCTTAGTGCTCTACAGGCTATACGAAAATTTGATACATCTCACCCCCTAGTTCTCCGTATCCAACTTTGGCTACGCCGTATCTCTACGAAGCATAAAGATATTATTTTTTGTTGGGTCCCTGGTCATGTCGACGTACAGGGCAATGAACAGGCAGACACTGCTGCGCATTCAGCAGTACATGACACTACCAATTTCCTATAGAGGTGTTCATTTCTGGACTATTTTTTCTACAATAGCTGCCCACCTTCGCGCCTGTTGGCAACAACGTTGGTCAACTCTGCTTGGTAACAAACTTCATTCTATTAAACCGAGCATAGGTTACTGGCTGTCTTCTTGTCATCAGTGCCGTGGTTGGGAGACCTCTCTCTCCCGTCTTCGCATTGGCCACACTCGTCTTACGGGTATCTCATGGAGAGGCACCCTGTATCTCTCTGTGAGCAGTGTCAAGTTCCAGTATCGATTAGCCACATTCTGTTAGACTGCCCTCTCTATCAATGAGCACGCAGAATTTACCTCCAACGTCGTCTTCGTTCTACTACTCTCTCTTTACCTTCCATTCTTGCTGATGGACCCTCCTTTAATCCTGACTCTCTCATTGACTTCTTGACAACGACTGATTTACTCCACAAACTCTGATGATGATACCTTTCGCACTCCCCTCAGCCCTTTTCTAGTTCAGTCTCTTGCGCCCCCTTTACCTTTCACCATCCACTGCCCCGCTGTTATCCGTAATCTATTACTCATCCATCTCCCTTTTGCCACCTGATGCCCTCGCTTCCTTCCTGCCCTGCAGTGCTGTATAGCCCTTGTGGCTTAGCGCTTTTTTTTTTTTTTTTTTTTTTTTTTTTTTTTTTTCAACAAGTCGGTCGTCTCCCACCGAGGCAGGGTGACCCAACAAAAAAGAAAGAAAATCCCCAAAAAGAAAATACTTTCATCATCATTCAACACTTTCACCACACTCACACATTATCACTGCTTTTGCAGAGGTGCTCAGAATATAACAGTTTAGAAGCATATACGTATAGAGATACACAACATATCCCTCCAAACTGCCAATATCCCAAAACCCCTCCTTTAAAGTGCAGGCATTGTACTTCCCATTTCCAGGACTCAAGTCCGACTATATGAAAATAACCGGTTTCCCTGAATCCCTTCACTAAATATTACCCTGCTCACACTCCAACAGATCGTCAGGTCCCAAGTATCATTCGTCTCCATTCACTCCTATCTAACAATAATAATAATAATAATACCCACACAGAGAGAGAGAGACCCTCTACCATTTCATAAGGAAAAATATTTTCTTTTTTTTTTAATTCTTGGATGCTCTGTACAAGTTTCAGATTGGAGGTCTGGACAGTGAAAGGGTTAAGATGTTAATAAAGTCTTCTAAAACACTGTAAATTCAGGCAAAATTGGAGACTGGGGAGTGTATGTGTAAGCACAAACAGTGAACTGATGTGGGTGGCCTATGGCTCGGGGAACACTGAAAACAGAGGTCCTGGATGAGGATACTCTGACCTACGCTGGATAAATGTCAGAATCATTGGACTTGGTCCATTGATTCAGAAGACTACTGGACACTCACTGTGGACAAAATTCAGAATCTACGGACTTTTTTCATTTTGTACAATGATTCCAGTGTTTGCAGCCAATTTATTTGTCCATAGTTTCTGAAATCTATCAAATGGGGGTCTGTTAATTTGAGGTTTTACTGTATATAGTGTTTAGAGCATCCTAAACCAATTTTTGTATGTGTAAATCTTCAGATGTTAAAATTATTAACTGCTCGTTATAATCTTGCATGTGGAGGTAAATGTGAGCATTGTACAACATAAGAATAATGAAACACAGCAAGTCTACTGGCCTGTGCTATACAGATCTTACTTGCACCTACCCACTTCTAAAGCATTTATTTCACAAATGGTATTTGACAGTTTTCTACTTCCAGCTTCATAGTCAACCCAAAATTATTGTATGCTGAGATAGCCGGTTATTTCAGTACTATACATATGACTATATGACTTATGTTTGAGGGATATGTGATGGAGGGTTGATATACTTTTAGCTAATTCCTCAGAGATATAACTTGACACCTCTACTACACTTTAAAACTGAACAAAAAAATGTTTTGTGAGTGAGAATGGGTAGATGTAAACAGGCCCTGTCTAGTCAGGGCCAGTAGGCTTACTATAGCAATCTTCTCTAATTTTGTTCTGAGGAATGTATGTCCAGAGTTAATCCCCAGTAGAACTAGGTTGTGTTTGTGTTTCTTTCAGTATCCATATGGTCAGAAAATATGAGTTGGCCAAAAGTTTCTTTATTTTTCATATTTATATAATGAACTGGTAATTACAAATTATGTAAGGTTTCGGTTAAATATTAGATATACTGTATTGCTGTTTGCTGTACAGTGGATGCTTGATTATAATTATCTGAACTATATAGGGCAGAGCCATAGCCATATACAGGGAGAGCCATTTCCATACATCACATATAGTTAGGGTATGTCTTTTTGAGCATTTTTCATTTAATTCCTCATTGTATCTGATCCAAGAATAGCCAAGAAAAAGTACCTACTATACTTTTTCTTAAACTGTATTAACAAATTAAATTTTTTTTAAACACATCGTCTCCCACCGAGGCAGGGTGACCCGAGAAAAAAAGAAACAAGTTTTTCTTCGCTTTACATTTAGTAATAACTAATTTCCAGTGTCCCAACATAAATCTTAACTTGAGAACAACAATCCAGGAAAGTATTATACTGCCCTCCTGTCATATGAAGGAAATGGAAGCCTAGTAAATTTTTTGTACTACTAAGATATTTTTTTTTTCTTGTAAACCTGCAAGATGGCTGAGAAATCTTGTAGATTTTTATTTTTACGTTTTAGCTTTTCTTTACTCGTGTTTTTATTCCTGTTAAATTTTCATTGCAGTTTATTTTATGAATGGTTTTTGAGATCTGACAAGCTGTTGGAGTGTGAGCAGGGTAATATTTTGTGAAGGGATTCAGGGAAACTGGTTAGCCAGACTTGAGTCCTGGAGGTGAGAAGTAGAATGCTTGCACTGTAAAGAAGGGGTTTGGGATGTTGGTTGTTTGAAGTGACATCTAAACTGTCGTATCTGGGCGTCTCTGCAAAGACAGTGATTATGTATGAATGGTGATGAAAGTGTTGAATGATAGTGTAAGTATTTTGTTCATTTTTGTTCACCGTGGCTCGGTGGGAGACGGTTGACGTGTTAAGAAAAATATGATATTTTTATTGCAATAAAATACTCAGTGTATATATTTAAATATTTTAATAAATTTTCATCTTGGCTGATATACATGCACAGATAGCTTTTCAACTGCCATTCCTTCATACAGTAAACATTTTTCCCTATGAATAATGTATAGTACTGTACCATATTACCTATAAATAATCACTGCTTATTATTAGGATTATGACCGATTTTTCTCTTACAGATGCAGGATGTTAGTGACATCATTCTTAACTGTGCATCAACTCACTGGGGGGACCGAAAGGAAGGCCTGATGGCTCTTCAAGCATTTTTGCGTGGTTCACACATGCTTACTGGATCAGAGCTGAAGAGGGTCACTGAAATCTTCACAAAAATGTTTATGGATGCACATACCAAAGTCTTTACTTTATTTCTTGACACACTGATGGAGTTAATCATGGTACACAAAGCAGACCTTGGAGACTGGCTCTATGTTCTGTTGACACGTTTGCTTAATAAATTGGGCTCTGATCTTCTAGGATCAGTACAGACCAAAATTCACAGAACTTTAGACTTAGTAAGGTGAGTGTATGTAAGCTTCTGAAATTTTTTTCTTGGAAGATACAAATAAAATTATTATTGAGATTTATTTTAAATCAGAATTTGTTGTTTGAATTCATTTTTTCCTTATGTAGTATACTGTAATGTTTTCATCCTTAATGAAAGTTAGGTTTTAACTAAGTATAACATATTTACTAAAGTTTTTTTATCAACAAGTCTTTTGACATTAACAGTTTAATGGGAATTTTAACTGATAGTTATTTTAACTTGGTATGAAAGTACTGTATTTTATTGTAATGTGCATTTTATTTAAGTTTATGTTTTTTATTTTTTATTTTTTTCTTGGTTGTTAGCATACATGTTTAGTATTTTTTTAACTGTTGCAAGCACTGAAGGAACTACCAAGTCAAAACACTCTTCATATCACAAAACTACCTACCTACATTACAATGACCTTTGTTGTGTGAAATATCTCCAACCCCAGTATTATAGCAAAAATCAAACGTGTTGAAACACTGTTATGGCTAGTGTGTGTGTGGTACTGCAGTGGTTTTTCCCAAGATGCTCCTGAATGGGATGTATTGTGAAAGACTAATTGCTACTTGTATTTTTAGCCAACTTTTTTCTCATGTGATATTTTTAACTGCTTTTTATTGAAATAACTTTGTTTCCTTATAAAAATGGGAGAGTGTAATGATAATTAGTGCACTCTAATGTAGCTTAGAGCAGCTCACATAAGTGATGCATTAATCCTTTTGGTGTCGGTCCCTTTATATAACAGCTTTGAAACCATTGTCGGTCCCGTAGTACAACACTATGAGCTCAACTCACTCAGATGAGCTGCGAGTTGTAAATTTGGGCCTAGATATGAGAGAATGGGTCTATGTCGTAAGTGTGCACCATATAAAAGAAATCCTGCAGCATTCAGTGCATAATGAGATAAAAACTGTAACCATGTTTTTGGTTTAACCCTTAAACTGTCTAAACGTAGATCTACGTTTGCTCGCATACCGCTCCGAACGTAGATCTACGTTTTATTTTTTCATTCCTTCAAATTTGGCGCGATAGGCCTGAGTTGCCTAGACATGAGAGAATGGGTCTGCACCCTCAATTTGCGCAGTATGAAAAAATTTGGGGACGCCGGGGTATCACGTGGTAGCACCAGTTAGTTTCAGCTCCTTGGGTCAACATCATGGCAAACCCCCATGATTCGCTCACACCTCATCGTATTAACACTCGACTGTTCATGGACAGTGAAACAGAATGCAAGTTTAGTGGATTTGGCAGTGATTTGGCCACTAATGAAAGGAATTAGTGAAACTATTGATGACAACCCAGATTACCCTCAGCCCATCACCTCTGGGGTGGCCACTGTGGCTGATGTGGCCAGTGTGGCCACAACAGACCCTCAGCTCAGGACCTCTGGGGTTGCTAGTGTTACTACCCAAAGGCAACTCCACAAAAGGAAATTATCATTTTCTTTGCGTTATGGTGATGACAATAGTGAAAGTGATATAAGTGACAATGATGAAATCAATTATATGCCCATGGAGAATTCATTGAGTGAATGTGATTATCATTATTCCCCAGTGAAACGTACTTTTAAGCGGCAGCGCCTACGTTCAGGCAGTGTGCCATGTGCAGTCGGTGGCAAGGGTTGTGGCAGGTTACGATCCAAAACCCCAGCAACTGATAGTGATAGTGATCATGAAGGTGAATATGCTGGGATGGAGGAAGAGGGGGGTGGCATGGTGCCTGGACCTAGTGGTGCAGTGGGTGGGAAGCAAAGGACTGCCCGGTACTGTCTCAGCCTTGTGTTGCCTTCACTCCTGTCCCTCCTCCTGCTCCCCCACGCCCCATGCCACAGGTCCACTTTGCACCATGTGACCGCGAATGGAACTGGACAGAAAGTACACCATTCATGCCACATCCTTTCAATTCTGATGCCAGTGGAAGTGATATCATGCCACACTGTTCCATCACAAATGAGTCTGCAGAGTTGGACTATTTTCAACTATACTTTGATGAGCCGATAATGAACCTGAGTGTTACCCGGACCAACATGTACTACCAGTATACAATGGACCACACATGTTTCAGAATCGTCACACCTGCGCAGATGGAAAGATACAGCTGTGGCTGAAATGTACTTATTCCTTGGCACTGTCATGCCTATGCCACACACGTATAAGAACAATGTAACACAGTACTGGTCCACAGACCACTTCATCAGCACTCCAGTCTTCCGTGACCTTCCCTGCAGCAGATTCACTATGTTGCTATGAATGTTGCGCTTCTCAGACAGGAATACGTCAAACCAAAATGACCTCCTATACAAAATCAAGGAGTTGTTTATGTATCTGAAGTAAAAATTCAGTGCCTACTTTTATCCATTCAAGAATATTGTTGTTGATGAGCCCTTGATTCTGCTCAAGGGATGCCTGTCATTCAAACAATATATACCAAGCACATGTAATCGCTTTGGTATAAAACTCTGTTATGTGTGACTGTAAGATTGGTCTTGTGTTGAATGTCATTATCTACACAGGGAAAAACACACTCGACAATGCCAGGTGCATGTTGGGCATTTCTGGTGATGTTGTTCGCAAGATGATGCTGCCATACCTTTGCAAGGGTCATACATTGTTCACAGACAACTGGTATACAAGCCCTATGCTTGCTGTATTCCTACATGTGAATAATACTGATACATGTGGAACAGTGAGAAAAAGTAGAAAACACATGCCATTGGCATTTCATGCCAATGACATCATGGCACTGATATGGCATGACAGACGGGACGTGACATTGCTGTCGACCATCCACAGAAACGAGATGGTACAGACAGACAGACTGAGCAAGCTCAACAATTAACCTCTTGTAAAGCCAGCTGTTGTCATCGCCTATATGAACAGTATGCGACTTGTCGACAAGTGGGACATGAAGATAGGGTTTGTTGACAGTGTGTGCAGGAGTCGCAAGTGGTATATAAAAGTGTTTTTCCACCTTGTGAACATTGCAATGCTCAATGCCTTCAACATGTATGAAATAGACAGGGAAGCAACAACGATAATCGGAACTCACCCTCAATGTCAGCAAGCATATAGCAAAAGAGTATGGCACCACGCCTATACCTCCCACTGCATAGCAACCTGTCACCCCACAACCAGAGGAAGAAGTGCCCAACAGAATAATCCCTAACTGTCACTGCTTGATACCAATACCATCTACTCCAAAGAAGTAGTACTCTCAGAAAAAGTGTGTTGTGTGTGCTTACACTACACAGCGACCCCAAGTGTGAAAAGAGACACGATTCATATGTCAGCAATGTGGGGTGGCACTCTGTATGAATCCATGCTTCTTGGAGTATCATACAGTGGTGGACTTCTAGAAACATAAATGGAACCTGTAAATACCTCGTATATACATGTAAACAATAGTACGTGATTGAACCAGGTGTACAAATTCATCTATCAGTGTGAATATGTATGCTTGTGACAGTATGATTACTAATTCATTACCAAACGTTTGTCTCTCAACAAGAATTGGCTATGAAAACAAAAGATCTGCAACAAAACATTATCATCATAACATGAAAACAACAAAAAATAGAAAAGAATTGGAAAAAACGATAAATGTTTATTGTTTCGGCAAGCGGCAGTGCTCCATGTTGCCAACATCTCATCATTTAGTACCAACTTTGTGGGCTTATATCTGGGTAAGTACTGGCCATAAAATTTTTTTTTATCCTGTAACATTTATAAAAATGCACTCATTTGAAAAAAAAAATTATTTTTCAAAATATTTGGAGTACTATGCGAGTGAACGTAGATCTACGTTTGGACAGATTAAGGGTTAAAACAGTGACTTTGCATTGTATTTTAGTGTCTTTTTTATTGGTATATTCTCGGTTTGATAGAATAGAATATATTCTATTGTTTGATAGAATAGAAGATATGTTACAGAAATAGAGATTATTTTAATTTGTTTCAGGATTAAAATTGAAATTGAGTTCAAGTTAGCGGAACTGTTCGATTTTGCCAGTATTCCAGAGTACACAAATGACGTCACTTTTCTAATACGCGTCCAACTGGCCAGTCTCATATGCATTTATTTATGCACTGATATTATTTATACAATTATTACAATAGTGCAGTAGTCTGCATGACAGTAAATCTTCTATTTTTTTGTGTGAATACAAATTCAAAATGGAAAGTAAGTGTAATATAAGAGGGGCCTGGAGATGTGACTATTGAGCAGAGGAAATGTTTTTTTAGTGCCAGGAATGTCTTCATTGTTTATTCTAGACCCTATTTTTAAATTGGCAATTTTTTAATTTTGTGTGAAATTTGCTAACTCCTATTTCTGATCTCTTTATTGGGTAGTTGAATAGGTAAATGGGCAGTTTCTTGTACTTACTTGATAGAATAGAAGGAGAAATAGCTATGAGTTTTGTTGACTGGAACAATGAAATTGGCCAAAAAGTAGGGTGCAAAGTGGGTGAAATCACTGATGCGTAAATATCGCTGAGACCGCTGACTTTGTAAGAGCGGATTTCCATAAGTTTTCCACCAAATTTCCTACATTTGGTTTTTTACCATCGGTAAAAAGATTCTCTACCGTTTCATAAGAAAAAACTGAGCAAGGGTCATGACCCTGAAAAGGTTAAATCTTATGATCTACTATCAGCTAGACTAAACATAAGGAATGTCAGGCCCTGAAATCTAATCCAAGCCAAGGCATGTTTTGATTGACCCACATGGTAGTGTTTTGTATCTTATTCCAAAAAAAATGTTAGAATTGTTTGGGAAATTTACTTTGTGTAACTAATGTACCTATGTTTGGTCTGGAGTTTTTTTCTTCTCTGCAGCTTGGACTGGGGCCAGGCTTTTCTGCTGATTGTCTGTTCAGCTAGGCTGTTGCTAATGGTGGCCATCACATCCTGGTTAATCTGGCAATGGTGGTGGTAGTCATCCAATTTCCTTTTGTAAATCTGTACTCTTTTTTTCCCAGCAGTATGATAGGGTTAATTGGGGACCAGTGTGGTAGGTGTTACCAATGTGTGAAATAGGTGGTAGGTTACTAAAAGCAGTAAAGAATTATTATGTGGATAGCAAGGTTCAGGTTAGGGTATGTAGGAGAAGGGGATTATTTTCCAGTGAGAGTAGGCCTTAGACAGGAATGTGTTACCATGGTCATGTAAATACATGGATGCTAGGATGTTGAGGCAAGGTATGGAATTAAAAGATAACCAATTTGTTACAAATTGGTAGTTACTACAGTTGCTTTGTGCTGATGACATGGTTCTTTAGGAAGATTCTGAAGAAAGGTTGCCAAGCTTAGTGGAGGAATTATGGATGGTATGTAAAGAAAGGAAAAAGTGAACACAGGAAACTGCTAGATAAAGAAATGAAAAAAAATTGGCAGTGAAAGAATTGGTATCAGGTTAGGAGGAAATGTGATATTTGGGAGTCTTCATGAGAAAGGAGAGAAGAATCCTTCTTTAAGTCATGCATGTCATAAAAGGCAACTAAAATGCTGGAACCAAAGGGCTAGTAACATCATCTGTATTAATTACTAAATTTAAAAAGAAAAACATTTTAAAGTTGGGATGTTTGAATCTGTGGAGACAAAGAACATTATCCTCAGATTAAAAAATGGGGAATGTATTGGATTATAGTGGTACCAACAGTCTTATGTGGGGTGTGAAACATGGGTTTTGAATTATTCAGTGAGGAAGAGACTGGAGGCAGTAGAGATGTATGTCTCAGGGCTGTGTGTGGTGTGAATATTATGTAGTGTGAATATTTGTTGTTTGGAGATTGGAAGGTGGTGTTGGGGTTACTGAAAGTATTATCCAGAGGGCTGAGGGAATGTTGTTGAGGTGGTTTTGAAATATAGAAAGGATGGAGCAAAATAAGATGACATGGAAGGTATGTAAATCTGTAGTGGAGGGAAGGTGGGGTAGGGGTTGTCTAAGGTAAGATTGAAAGGAGGGGGTATGTGAGGGGCTTGGACATTCAACAGGTGTGTGAGAGCATGAAAGACAGGAGTGGAAGCAAGTGGTATTTATGACTTGACTTGCTGCTGGAGTATGAGCAAGGTAATATGTATGAAGAGATTCAGGGGAAACCGGTTAACTGGACTTCAGTCCTGGAGGTGGGAAATACAGTGCCTGTACTTTGAAGAAAGGATGTGCAGTTTAGAGGGGCATCCGAGTTGTAGTATCAACACACCTCTGACAGGACAGTGATGGTGCGAGTGATGGTGGAAGCATTTCTTCTTTTTTCCGGTAACCTTACCTCAGTGGGAGACAGCTGGTGTGTTAAAAAAAAAATCCACTTCCTCCATACTCCCTCCAGTCTAATATCCATTTTTGTTACTCTGATCACCATGCTCCTCTATCTGTTCCCGTTTAATTTGCATCTTTTAAATTTTTTTTTTTTTTTCAAGAAGTCGGCTGTCTCCCACCGAGGCAGGGTGACCCAAAAAGAAAGAAAATCCCCAAAAAGAAAATACTTTCATCATCATTCAACACTTTCACCTCACTCACACATAATCACTGTTTTTGCAGAGGTGCCCAGAATACAACAGTTTAGAAGTATATACGTATAAAAATACACAATGTATCCCTCCAAGCTGCCAATATCCCAAACCCCTCCTTTAGAGTGGAGGCATTGTACTTCCCATTTCCAGGACTCAAGTCCGGTTATATAAAATAACCGGTTTCCCTGAATCCCTTCACTAAATATTAACCTGCTCACACTCCAATAGCTCATCAGGTCCCAAATACCATTTGTCTCCATTCACTCCTATCTAACATGCTCACGCACGCTTGCTGGAAGTCCAAACCCCTCGCCCACATCACCACCTTTACCCCCTTTAGATACCTTTTAGATACCTTTTACATACCCTCCTAAATTTGTCCAGAAGAACTGTGTCATTGGCAAAGAGCAATTGTGACAACTCTGACTTTGTGTCAAATTCATCATCTTGTAATATTACATATCTTCTTTTACATTTCCATCTATAAATATGTAAAACAACCAAGGTGGCATTATGCATCCCAGTCTAAGTCCTATTTTTGCTGTGAAAGTCCCCCATCTCTCCTACATACATTAACCTGAGCCTCACTCTCCACCATGTTGCTTTCCTATCCACCCTCTCATATGGCTTTTCTAAATCTGTTAGTGCTGCAAACAGCTTCTTACCCCTATCTGAGCATTGTTCACTTGTTTGTTTTACTATAAACACTTGGTCTACATATCCCCATTGCTGCACTGCAATCATTTTTCTTATCCTTACCTCTCCAATAATAAATCTGTTGCACACTTTACACAGTGTACTCGACAGGCTTATCCCCCTATAATTTTTATATAATCGCTCATCCTCTTTTTTTTTTTTATGCAAAGAAATTACATATGCTCTCTGCCAGTCCTTAAGTACTATCTCTTCTTTCCTATATACTTCGAATGAATACATCAACCACCCCTATGCTGCATCCCCACCTGCTGTTAACTTCTCCTTAATCCCATGTGTCCCATCTGTTGTACTGCTTTTCATTCTGCCCACTGCTTGATGCACTCTGTCGCATTCATGTCTGGCACCGAAATATTATTCTTTCTTCCTCCTTGCCCAAATTATGGAATTATTGCTACCTTGTCATCATTAATATTCAACAACTCTTCAAAATATTTTCTTCTTTCCAGTGTTTCCACTTTTCTATCTAACATCTCCCTTCTTTTATTCAACTGCCAAGTCCATTTGCTCTTCAGGCTTTCCTCACTTTATTGATCTCTCTTGGGCTTACTGTATTCTTTAAATAATAGGTCATCTGACATTATAATAACCAAGCCTTTTCTATGTTCCTTTTGATCTATGAGATGGTTTTACTGTTTTTTTTTTTATCTAGTGCTCCATTTGAGATCTTCATTCTTTCTATATGTGAACAGTTGGAATTTGTCATTACTGAACTTCATATCCTTACATCTTCTTGCACTTTACCAAAGACGTGTTGATAATATCACTCGTTGAATTCTGACATGCTGTTGTCTGAAAAGCCAGACCTCATGTATGGGGCCAGAGATTCAGATCTGGCCTATTGCCTGTGTATGTGAATCTGGCTCATATCTCAATGATAGGACCTTTAACTCATGGGTGAAGTGAGACTAGGCAAGTCTCTTAACTCCTAGCAGTATGTAGGTACATGATAGCTATTCTAGGTTGCATCCTGAGAAATGGTAGTACTGTGCACCTTAGATAGGGCCAGACTTTGAAATGAGCTGAGGTCAGATAATGAAAATAAAAAAAAATACGTGTACAATCCATGGACTAGAGGTTGCCCATTCCCGAGTTAGGTCAACTGGTAAAACGTGAAGGTAAATTATTTGATGTTAATGACATTTTCTCTATGTGATTTTGAATTTGTATTTGGATACTGTTTTTGTTTCGACTACAGCTGAGAGTACTGGTACATACACATTGTCAGTTATATTGTTGATTCTTTACTCTGCAGTAGCTCATGCTCAGTTCTTGTTAACACGTTATGTTCTAAACGGATTTACATTGATGTAATACACTTTTGTTTTAGTTATATTTTAATGTTTCTCATTAATGTATTCTGCATACATACATAACAAATTAGCCTTTATTCTTTAGGATTAATTTTTGTTTTTGTTCATTAATGTAGAAGCTCTTTGTGTTAGAAAGTAAAATGAATATATAGGATGTTTTCTTAAAAGTTAAAGCATTTATCTTGTCTGCAAGCTATATGTGAAAATAACTGATGGTGTACATAAATGCTATGCTATACTGCAACAAATGTCAATGAAGACATAGCTGATATGTAGAGATCATCAAAATCTTTTCTTCTTTATATATTTCAGTATTTTGTAATACTCATTAATATTGTATATTTTTTTGTTACAGAGACTCATTCCCATGTGACCAGCAGTTCATTGTTATCATGAGATTTCTTGTTGATCAAACACAGACACCTAATTCTAAAGTGAAGGTGGCAACCCTCACATATCTCAAGTGTTTAGTTGATGTAATGGAACGAGGAGACTTTACTGCATCACATGATACTCCTATGGCCTTAGCTAAAATCTTAACTTGGACTGCTGACCAAAAATTCCTTGATATTCGACGTGCAGCTTCAGCTGTTGTCATCGCTATGTTTAACTGCAATATCACAGAATTTACTGCACTTCTGCAACAGCTTCCTCCAGCCTGCCAGAGCACTGCATCACAAATCATACAAACTCATTTAAAAAGAGCCTCCAGCCTTGATGCTTCACCCTCATCCTTACCTCCTCGTACCCCACCTAGTGCAGGTGGAACTCCTGTTCTTCAGAGCCCTAATACTTCTCTCCCACGATCACATCGACCTTCACGATATAATACTATAGATTTCGACGACACAGAAAATCTTAATCCTGAAGAAGTGTACAGGTGAAGTCCCAAATGCCAGTTATATGGTTTAGAAATATTTTTAAGCTTTGCTATTCCTTTACTAAACAGTACTTCATCATTACTCCTTTGTTATAGATCCATGTTAGTAACTTGCACAGTATTTCAGCTTTTCTTCATGATTATATTCCTTTGATTTATAGTTTTATCAGTAGTGTCCTTACTGTTAGCTTCTGAGCTTGATGCTTTTATTTGGTTTATCCTCCCTGCCATCTGGTACGTGTCCTTTCTTTCTTATAAATATACTAGGGATTCTTCTCATCAGCTAATTGCATGCTTCTTGTTATTTCCTGTATGTTGTTTCACCTCAGTGTCAACACTTAAACCTTAATTAGTTATCTTCTGATGTGGTTGTGAAGTAGTTTTGATTTTGTCATGATCTTAGGTGCTATGTCAGCTCCTCTCTCTACCTGAAGAGCCATTTGTCTTATCTGCTAGCTTAACTTTCTCTGGAAGTGGATTTGATACTTTTTTCCTATGCATTTAGTATTCCTTAACTTTGTTACTACATATTTTCATCAGTGTTTTTTTCAGCCTGATGGTTGAATCATGGTTTCTACTTAATACCTTGTCTGTTTCTTCACGAGAGTTGCTTCTCTGCCCTTTTTTCTTTTTCTCCCAACAAGTCGGCCATCTCCTACCGAGGCAGGGTGACCCAAAAAGAAAGAAAATCCTCAAAGAAAATACTTTCATCATCATTCAGCACTTTCACCTCACTCATATATAATCACTGTTTTTCCAGAGGTGCCCAGATACAACAGTTTAGAAGCATATATAAAGATATATAACATATCCCTCCAAACTGCCAATATCCTAAACCCCTCCTTTAAAGTGCAGGGATTGTACTTCCCATTTCCAGTACTCAAGTCCGGCTATATAAAAATAACCAGTTTCCCTGAATCCCTTCACTAAATATTACTCTGCTCATACTCCAACAGCTCGTCAGGTCCCAAAAACCATTTGTCTCCATTCACTCCTATCTAACACGCTCATGCACGCTTGCTGGAAGTCCAAGTCCCTTGCCCACAAAGCCTCCTTTACCCCAGTCCCTCCAACCTTTTCGAGGACAATCCCTACCCCGCCTTCCTTCCCTTATAGATTTATACGCTCTCCATGTCGTTCTACTTTGATCCATTCTCTCTAAATGACCAAACCACCTCAACAACCATTCTTCAGCCCTCTGACTGATACTTATATTAACTCCACACCTTCTCCTAATTTCCACACTCCAAATTTTCTGCATAATATTTACACCACACATTGCCCTTAGACAGGACATCTCCAACTGCCTCCTCGCTGCAGCATTTACAACCCAAGCTTCACACCCATATAAGAGAGTTGATGCCACTATATTTTTACAATTCCCTTCTTTGCCTCCATAGATAACTTTTTTTTAATCTCCACATATACCTCAATACACCACTCACCTTTTTTCCTTCATCAATTCTATGGTTAACCTCACCCTTGTTAAACCCATCTGCTGACACGTCAACTCCCAATTATCTGAAAACATTCACTTCTTCCATATTCCCTCTTTCCAATGTGATATCCAATTTTTCTTTATCTAAATCATTTGATAACCTCATCACCTTACTCTTATCTATGTTCACTTTCAACTTTCTACCTTTGCACACCCTCTGCACTTTTGGTTGAAAATTTTCACAGTTTCCTGGTAAAATTAATTACCTCAATATACACGAGTCAAAAAATGCCTAATTCCTTCATGGTCGTCTTTCCTATGCATCAGTAACTTTGTTTATCCCCTTTCTCTTTTTTTTTTTTTTTTTTTTTTTTTTTGTATATATTTAGTTTCCACATTTGTCAGGTACCAGTGTCAACACAGTAATAGCTTTCTTCACGAGGTATTTTATGTTTCATTTTTTCTGTTGATCTCGTTAGAGATGTAAATAAGCACCAGTCTCACAGGTTCTGTTCTTTCTTGATGAATGGTATTGTCAGAGATAGATAGTTGGTATCCGATTTGAAAATGATCAGTTTAGAGGAGTGTAATTTTTTAGTAGGAGTGTGTAAATTTTTAGTAGACTTTGCAAATTCCTTGCCCACAAATACCAGCCTAAACCCTGCAAGCATGCCCACATTGGTAATTTCCTAAACAACTTTGTTTCATAAACACGATGCCCTCATGAAAAATACATGTATAGTACAGCCTCTCCTCACTTAACGACGGAATTGTGTTCCTGAGACCACATCGGTAAACAAATTTGTGGCTAAGTGAGGAGCATACTATAATGCTAGTGAGTTTGTGTCAACCAACTTTGATATTGTTTTAATTTCACCTTTGCACCATTTATAACATTTCTTACATACTATTTTTAAAAATTAATACAGTGTGCTGTATATTGTAATAAATAGAGTAGAGGAAATCAGCTCTAATATATATTATTTAGGTATGCACACTGGTCAGAGAGCTGGTCGTAAGCTCGAGTCATCAGTAAACGAGTACATCGCTAAGTGAGGAGAGGCTGTACTGTAACGTTTTTAACACTGACCATCCCCACCAAGGCAGGGTGAATCAAGAAAGAAGAAACTAGTTTTCCTTCTTTTTACATTCAGTAATTTATACAGGAGAAGGGGTTACTATCCCATTGTGTCCGGCATTTTAATCACCTCTTATGATATGCACTTCTCTCTGAATTAACACTTGCACAATGTAAATGATCTTTGTGTGTATATTTTTACTAGTGTGCAGTGAGTGCTTTGTGGTTACCTAAGGTTACTCTTAAGTTTTGTCATAATAAGATACTGTTAATAGCCAGGTTCTGCAAATACCTAGCTTTACTTATGAAAAGTATAGTACACTAGACCCTTGGTTACCAGCTGTAATCCATTCCAGAAGGTCGGCTTAAATCCGAAAAGGCCGAAAACCAAAGTAATATTTCCCATAAGAATTAATGTAAAAACAATTAATCCGTTCCAGACACCCAAAAATATTAACAAAAAATACATTTTTTAAAGATTAACTATAGTTTTATATACAGAAAGCAATGAGAAATAAATGTAAAACACAAATGTTAATGATAAATGAACATTACATACCTTTATTGAAGAAGGCGAGGAGGGGAGAGGGAGTTGGGAATCCACCAACATGAGGACTTCAGGTATCAAAACCCTCTCTAGCATTACTTCCCTTCTTTGTCATTTACTGCCACAGTACATTCATTACTTAAAATATTTGTAGTCTTTATGTAGGGTGAGACATGAGTAGTATTTATTTGTAGGAAGTCAGTGTAGGCAGCAGCAGATGTAGGTACACGTATGTAGCATCCCCCCCCACCCCATCCCTGGGTGACACTACACAGCCGTATTATTACCATGTTCACTGAGTGTAGTCATTTCTAACAACTACCTTTAGATGCCATCATAAACAAAGGGAGAAGTAATGAATAATTCATGCCGAGAATTGTAAACAAACGCGTATGAAGGGCGGTGACTGGGCCAGATGCCAGATTCACAGTTTTCTCTAATGCTGAATCAGAGAAAAACCTAATGTTTACTCTCTGCTCGACTCACCACTCAGTGGCATATAAACATTGCATGTTTATATGCTATGTAATGTGTTTCTTATATAATTTTGAAGAAAATATCATAGATGGATTAATGAGAATATCTATATTAACCTAAAATGAGACATTTAATGTGCCCAAGAGTGATTATTATTAAACATACATCGCATATAAACTTGGCATGTTTTTATATACTATGTAACATGTTTCTTTGGGCCCATGGTGGATTATTTCGCAGTTGCACTCAAACAATTGCAAAAAAAAAAAAAATAGATTATAACAATATGTTTGGATGAATACATCATGGAGTGGTGGGCGGACACGTCCTATACAACCGATTTCCGAGTTGCTGGCTGAAATCCAGGATAGAATTTCGGCCAAAAACGCTGCCGAAATCCGATTTGGCCGTTATCCGCACCGGCTGATATCTGGGAGTCCACTGTATTATCATTATTTCATGAATTTAAAATGATTTAGTTTTGGGTTTGTAGAATTGAAAGTAAACATAAAATTAGGGTAAAAATTAAGTTTATATTATCAGACATTTTATGAAACTTGAAATATATAATTTGCAGATTCAGTCCTTTAGATTCTTTCTTTGACTTTTTTATAGCAAATTTACCTAATATGCATTTTTTTTACTGATCATTTTTTTCTAATTCCTGAAAGTAGTTCATATCCTAATTTTTCAGTAGACTTGCATAAAATATTTTAAATATGAAATTATTGACTTTTATTATGTTATAAATGTTGATTTTTTGTTCCTTTCCACAGAAGTCTAAAGCGCACAACAGCAGAGATTCAGAACTATAGTTTTGACTTAGAGAGTCTAGAGAAACACAGGGACTCTACATCACAGGTACTAAAACTCTGATTTTTTTTTTTTTTTGTTACATAAACAAGTATATACATTGTTTTTTTTTTAAACAGTTTGAAAATAACAGTATAATTATGAAATGTAATACAGCAAACATTTTCTCTTCTTTAAACTAATTCCTGTTTTGTGGTAGTAAAATTATATAAAAAAAAAAATTAACATTTTAATGGAAATGGAAAATTTCACGTATGGTGAAAAGTCTGAATTTAGAGATTTTGCAAAGTGAGCTTTAGAATTTTACAAAATATTTTTAATTAAATATTTCTAGAAATATTTTCTTAGAGAAAATGTTTATTTACCTTTACTGAATTAAGTTTAAGAAATTTGGCATAAATGTTTAAAAGTCATAAATTTGAAGATCCTTCCACATTACAAAGTTTATTTTCAAAACTTGGGAGGATTGTGTATATAGGAATTCTGAATAAGAGACATTGATTTATATTATCCATAAATAATGATGTTTATGATTTTAATTCTTAGGATTCTGGAATAAGCCAATTGTCAGCTGGTGGTGGTGATATTCGGAATATTGAGGCAGTAGATGATAAACATTGTGAGGATACTAATGGTATTCTTTCGGGAAGATCCTCGAGTGTATCTTCTCCGACACATCGTCAGCTCTCCATGATGTCTGATTCCTCAAGGAATGGCTTGGACACCCTCACAGATGATGATTTGGGTAGAGGTATTTTTTTGTTTGGCTTCTTTTGTTATGTTTCCCTATATTTATTCTATTTTGCCTGCATGATTTATTCTCATTTTATTATAATTTAGATTTTAAGTTCTTTTACTTTAGTGTATTATATTGAAAAAGGCTTAATATTCCAGCCAAAATTATAGATGGGATACTGACACACAGCAGAGGTGGGCTAATTTACTGTATCTGTGGTTCCTAACTACTGCATATTACATAGTTATTAAATTTATACCATAATAATGTACACTGCCTATCTTCAAATCTGTGGTTTGTCACAAAATTTGGAGTTTATTTCTGGAGCAGATACACTTAACTGTAACTGTACCACAGGTAACCTGTTTTCTTGGCTTCTGAAAGATAGATGTCACATTGTTTCACATTTTATGTGCATGAGAATATGCATATTGTTTGAGAGTAGAAATTAAGAATGTGTGGGCTTTCCAGGGGTATAATTCAGTAAGCTAAGGAGGGATTGTTGAGATGGTTTTTAGAATTTAGAGATGGAAAAGGATAGGATGGAGGGTAAAGGATGTTGAACTTAAGGGGTGTGAGTATTCAGCAGGCTTGTGTGAGTGTGTTAGATAAGAGTGAATGAAGAAAAGTGATTTTTAATGGACATTCTATTGCAGTATGAGCAAGGTAAATTTTGTGAAGGGATTCAGGGAAAACTGGTTAGCTGGACTTCATATCTGGAGGTGGGTAGGGGGAGTGCCTGCACTCTGAAGTAGGGGTGAGGACATTACAGCCAGAGGATAATCTGAATTGTGATGTCACCACACTTCTGGTAGAGACAACGATTGAATAAATGATGGCAAATGTGTTTCCTTCTTTGGATCATTCAATTTTAATGTTATAAACTATATATGAAACAGTTCTGAATGGAGATTTAAGACAAATTTGTTTAAATAGGAGATGGACAAGAAAGTGATGCTGAGGTAATGTCAGGAGTAGTAGCAGAGCTTGGCAATGCTGAAGAAGGTCGCTCTGCAGAGAAGCGTAGTGCTTTGACTAACCTTATAAGGTTGGCACGCACTGGGTCTACTCTTGTATGGAATGAAAATTTTCGTGCTGTGTTACGATTGCTATTAGAGTGTCTTACTTGTGATGATGGTGGTCAGCGAGCCCTGGTGCTAGCAGTACTCACTGAAATGATGAGAAGAAGTCCACTAGTTCACCACTTTCTTAGTTTTTCTGAGCTCATCATTCTCAGAGTACTTAATGCACATGCTGATAAAGAAAAGGAAGTGCTCCGTGCAGCTTCGGTAAGCATTACTTCTGTATTCACCTTTGTTATGGAATTAGCATATAATAAAGTTTAACATTGCGTTTTTTTTTTTTTTTTTTATAAATAATTGGTTCTTTCCATTGACCTTGTTTAATTTAATAACTCTGCATGTCAGGTATGTGCAGGTACTGTAGCAGAGATACTTCCTCCTGAAGTGGTGATTCGTGTCTTAAAGCCTTTGATTCAGATGGGCGAGTATCCAGTCAACCAAGCGGCCATCAAAATGCTCAATAAGCTGGTTGAGGCTCACCAACCATCTATTGTGGCTGCAGCTATGCCAGAAATAATGCCTGGATTGATTAAGGTAAGTGAATAAATTCTTTAACTTTGAGTATCCTTTGAAAACCTTCAGTGCTGCTGCTCTAGTTGAAAACTAAAGTGAGTAATTTGTAAAGCTTGAACATTAAACAATGATGTCTAATCATTGGAAAATCAGTATTTAAATACTTAAAAATGACAGTTGTCAAGTAGTATTCATTTGGGAAGGAGGATTAAAATGTTTTTAAATTTATATTTTGTTAAGATAAAATTTTTTTGATTAACATGATATGGGGTTTGTGAATGATGAGGTTAATCATGGATAGATAAGGGAAAATAGATTGAGTGTTGAGACACCTGTGGAAAGAAACTAGTTCATCAAAGGAAGCCAAAAAGGAATGTATCTCAGTATAGTGTTACCAACACTTCTCTGTGGGTGTGAGGCATGATCTTTAAATGTTGCAGGGAGGAGGAAACTGGAGGCAATGAAGTGTTGTGTATGAAGTCAGTGTGCATTGTGACAATTATGCAGAACATGAAGTGCATAGGAATTTCATTAAAAGACAGTTTTGGGGTATGAAATTTATAATTCGGATGGTGGAAGTGGGGTTGTTTTGATGATTTATTCAACCCTTAAACTGTCCAAACATAGATCTACATTTGCACCACTAGCGCTCCGAACGTAGATCTACGTGTTTTTTTTTACATTTGAAAGCAAGTATAAAAATGTACATCTACGTTCTGAGCGCTAGCAGTGCAAACGTAGATCTACGTTTGTACAGTTTAAGGGTTAAGATATGATGGAGGAGGATAGGTTGACTCGGAGATTGTATAAATCTGGATTGGACACTTGTTTGAGAAAGGGTTGGAAGAAAGTGTAAAGGTGATTTTGAGTTGTAGGGGCTTGATCAACCAGTAGTCATGTGTGAGCACCTAAGATAAATGTGAGTAGAGTCAGGTGCTTTTTAAGATTTTATGTGCTGTTAGAATATGAACAAGGTAACATTTATAAAAGGATTCATCCTTCCCTCCAACCAATCCTGGGACATCCCCTACCCTCCTTACTCCCACCTCAGATTTGTGCATGTTCTTGGTCAACCTTGTTTGCTTCCTTTCTCAATGCTTCAGACCATTGAATTGTACATTTTATATTTCCACACATTAATTTCTATTCATCTTATTCTCTGCATAATATTCACACCACACATTGATCTCAAATATGACTTCACTATCTTTGGCCTCCTCCTTTGTATAATGTTTGAATACAATGCCTCACCTCCATATAAAAGTGTTAGTAGCACTATACCCAGGTTCCTCCTCCTCCTCCTCTTTTTTTTTTTTGTCTCCGCTGATAAATTTTCTTTTTTTCCCACAGATGCCTGCCTCAACACAATACATACCTTTTAACCCTTGTCTATTCTAGGATTCACTTCTTATCTCATACATCCGTCTGCTGTCACGTCCACTCTCAAATATCTAATTACATTTACTTCTTTGCTTACCTCTTTCCAATCTGGTGTTCAGTCTTTCATTGCATAGAATTTTTCTTACTTTCATCAGATTACTTTTCTATGTTCAGTTTTAATTTCCTCCATAAATCTTTGCAGTGTCATTTCTGAATCCCCCAAAAGAATTGTCCTCAACAAAGAGCAACTGTAACATCTCCCATTTCATCAGATTCATAATCAGCATACACTAGGGCCACGCTTTATGGTGTTCCGTTAATACGATGATTTCAAATCATGACCAAAACTTGCTATATGGTGAACGATCTTTCAAATACCGTGCACCCCACCTGGTTTGTTTACATTCTTCGTGAGCTCCTCTCTCTATTATGTCTGGAAACTTTCCAGAATTTCAAGTGTTTTGAAGTTATTGCATATTTTATATGTACTTTGATAATTATACGTATTTATGTGTACTTGTACCTAACTACTCTTACACACTATGCTGGCATGCAGGTACACATTAAAATCATGAAGTCTCTCTCTATCTTAACGTAATATGTAATCTCTTGGGCGCATTAAATGTTGTATGTTACGTTAATATAGACATTTCCATTAATCCAGCTTTGATATTTTTTCAAATTATATAATGAACACGCTACGTAACATATAAATATGATAAATACACCCCACAGTAGAATAAATTAACATAAATATGAGATGTGGCAGCCAGGTGACTTGTAGTCTAACATCAGAGAAAATGTGTCACTATAATATTACTGGGGGTAACTAGAAAATTATTCCTTTAGTATGCCTTCTCTCAGAGCATCATTTCTTCTAAAAATGGTGTTACAGGAGAATGGGAGTGTTTCTCTTTATTTATTCTACTGTATCAACATGATACTACCGTCCTGCCAAGTGAGTGTAAAACGAAGCCTGTGATTGTTTTACATGATGGTAGGATTGCTGATGTCTTTTGTCTGTCTCATAAATATGCAAGATTACAGGCATGTCTTGCTACTTCTGCTTACACTTAGGTCACACTACACATACATGTACACATTTATTTATACACACTCATCTGAGTTTTCTTTGATTTTTATCTTAATAGTTCTTGGTCTTATTAATTTTCCTTTTATATCCATGGGGAAGTGGAATAAGAATCTTTCCTCCGTAAGCCATGCGTGTTGTAAAAGTCAACTAAAATGCCGGGAACAATGGGCTAGTAACCCCTTTTCCTGTAAAGATTACTAAAAAGAATAAGAAGAAGAAAATTGTCAAAGTGGGAAGTCTGAATGTGCGTGGATGTTGTGCAGATGATAAGAAAGAGATGATTGTGGATGTTATGAATGAGAAGAAGCTGGATGTCCTGGCTTTAAGTGAAACAAAGCTGAAGGGGTGGGAGAGTTTCAGTGGAGAGGAATAAATGGGATTAGGTCAGGGGTTTCAAATAGAGTTAGAGCTAAAGAAGGAGTAGCAATAATGTTGAAGGATAAGCTGTGGCAGGAAAAGAGGGACTATAAATGTGTTAATTCAAGGATTATGTGGAGTAAAATAAAGATTGGGATGTGAAAAGTGGGTTATAATAAGCGTGTATGCACCTGGAGAAGAGAGAAGTGTAGAGGAGAGAGAGAGATTTTGGGAAATGTTGAGTGAATGCGTGGGGAGTTTTGAATCAAGTGTGAGAGTAATGGTGGTTGGGGATTTCAATGCTAAAGTGGGTAAAAATGTTATGGAAGGAGTAAATAGGTAAATTTGGGGTGCCAGGGGTAAATGTAAATGGGGAGCCTTTAATTGAGCTATGTGTAGAAAGAAATTTGGTAATAAGTAATACATATTTTATGAAAAAGAGGATAAATAAATTACAAGGTATGATGTAGCACGTAATGAAAGTAGTTTATTAGATTATGTATGGTGGATAAAAGGTTGATGGGTAGGCTCCAGGATGTACATGTTTATAGAGGGGCAACTGATATATCGGATCATTATTTAGTTGTAGCTACAGTTAGAGTAAGAGGTAGATGGGAAAAGAGGAAGGTGGCAACAACAAGTAAGAGGGAGGTGAAAGTGTATAAACTAAGGGAGGAGGAAGTTCGGGTGAGATATAAGCGACTATTGGCAGAAAGGGTGGCTAGTGCAAAGATGAGTAGTGGGGGGGTTGAAGAGGGTTGGAATAGTTTAAAAATGCAGTATTAGAATGTGGGCAGAAGTTTGTGGTTATAGGAGGGTGGGGGCAGGAGGAAAGAGGAGTGATTGGTGGAATGATGAAGTAAAGGGTGTGATAAAAGAAAAAAGGTAGCTTATGAGAGGTTTTTACAAAGCAGAAGTGTTATAAGAAGAGCAGAGTATATGGAGAGTAAAAGAAAGGTAAAGAGAGTGGTGAGAGAGTGCAAAGGAGAGCAATGATAGAGTGGGAGAGGCACTGTCAAGAATTTAATGAAAATAAGAAAAAATTTTGGAGTGAGTTAAACAAGTTAAGAAAGCCTAGGGAAAATATGGATTTGTCAGTTAAAAACAGAGTAGGGGAGTTAGTAGATGGGGAGATGGAGGTATTGGGTAAGTGGCGAGAATATTTTGAGGAACTTTAAATGTTAAGGAAGAAACAGAGGCAGTAATTTCATGCACTGGTCAGGGAGGTATACCATCTTTTAGAGTGAAGAAGAGCAGAATGTAAGTGTGGGGGAGGTACGTGAGGCATTACGTAAAATGAAAGGGGGTAAAGCAGCTGGAACTGATGGGATCATGACAGAAAATGTTAAAAGCAGGGGGGGATATAGTGTTGGAGTGGTTGGTACTTTGTTTAATAAATGTATAAAGAGGGGAAGGTACCTAGGATTGGCAGAGAGCATGTATAGTCCCTTTATATAAAGGGAAAGGGACAAAAGAGACTGTAAAAATTATAGAGGAATAAGCTTACTGAGTATACCAGGAAAAGTGTAATGGTAGGGTTATAATTGAAAGAATTAGAGTAAGACAGAATGTAGGATTGCGGATGAGCAAGGAGGTTTTAGAGTGGGTAGGGTGATGTGTAGATCAGGTGTTTACATTGAAGCATATATGTGAACAGTATTTAGATAAAGATAGGGAAGTTTTTATTGCATTTATGGATTTAGAAAAGGCATATGATAGAGTGGATAGAGGAGCAATGTGGCAGATGTTGCAAGTATATGGAATAGGTGGTAAGTTATTAAATGCTGTAAAGAGTTTTTATGAGATAGTGAGGCTCAGGTTAGGGTGTGTAGAAGAGAGGAGACTACTTCCCGGTAAAAGTAGGTCTTAGACAGGGATGTGTAATGTCACCATGGTTGTTTAATATATTTATAGATGGGGTTGTAAAGGAAGTAAATGCTAGGTGTTTGGGAGAGGGGTGGGATTAAATTATGGGGAATCAAATTCAAAATGGGAATTGACACAGTTACTTTTTGCTGATGATACTGTGCTTATGGGAGATTCTAAAGAAAAATTGCAAAGGTTAGTGGATGAGTTTGGGAATGTGTGTAAAGGTAGAAAGTTGAAAGTGAACATAGAAAAGAGTAAGGTGATGAGGGTGTCAAATGATTTGGATAAAGAAAAATTGGATATCAAATTGGGGAGGAGGAGT